CTGCCACCTGCGGTGGCGGCAACCATCACTTCCGCAAGAGCGTCGTCCACGAGACACCTTTATGCGTTGAAGTGGGACCTCTTCGTCAATTGGTGCTCTTCTCGCGGAGAAGACCCCCGGAGATGTTCGATCAGTGTCGTGCTTTCCTTCCTGCAAGAAGGGTTGGAGCGCAGGCTGTCGCCCTCCACCCTTAAGGTTTACGTCGCGGCCATTGCCGCTTCTCATGAAGCAGTGGAAGGTAAGTCCTTAGGGAAGCACGACCTGGTCATCAGGTTCCTGAGGGGAGCGAGGAGGCTGCATCCGCCTCGTCCTCCCCTCGTACCCTCTTGGGACCTCTCGGTAGTTTTAAGTGCTCTGCAGAGGCATCCCTTTGAGCCTTTGCAATCGGTAGAGTTAAAGTTTCTGTCCATGAAGACAGCACTCCTGGTTGCATTGGCCTCCATCAAGAGGGTGGGGGACCTGCACGCATTCTCCGTTGACGAAGCGTGCCTGGAGTTCGGGCCGGCTTACTCTCACGTGATCCTGAGACCCCGGCCTGGATATGTGCCCAAGGTTCCCACCACTCCCTTCCGGGACCAGGTGGTGAACCTGCAAGCGCTGCCCCCGGAGGAGGCAGACCCAGCCTTGGCACTGCTCTTTCCGGTACGTGCTCTCCGCACCTATGTCGACAGAACGCAGTGTTTCAGGACCTCAGACCAGCTCTTTGTCTGTCATGGAGGGAGCCAGAAGGGAAGGGCTCTCTCAAAGCAACGGCTGTCCCACTGGATAGTGGATGCCATTGCTTTGTCTTACCAGCAGCAAGGCCTTCCGTGCCCCCTTGGTGTGACGGCCCATTCCACTCGGAGTGTAGCCTCCTCTTGGGCTTAGCGCACGGCGCCTCGCTAACAGACATCTGCAGAGCTGCAGGCTGGGCGACACCCAACACCTTCGCCAGATTCTATAATCTGCGAATTGAGCCGGTATCCTCTCACGTACTCGTTTCGGCCAGTTCTGGATCCGCTCAGGTGTCTTCGCTTGCTCGCCACTCCACTCCCCGGACTGGATAAGTGCGATATTTCCTCAGTTCTTCCATTGAAGTCTTGAGTCCTCCAGCACCGACGATGCGGGCACCACTGCGTTGCTCTGGATGCTAGCTAGGTGCCTCCATGCGCACGGTTCCCCATGGTAACCGTCTCATGTGTATTATCCACTGTAAGCCTCTCTGAGCATGTGTCTTCCCTTGGCAAGCCATCTGCCACCCCTGGAGTTTAAATCAGTAGCCACCTGCGGTTGGTACTCCAGTGTTCCATATGCGTTCCTATGTGGCCATATGTGTATTCATAAGTCCTCCCTTCGGTAGGCAGCTGGTAGCATGTCCCCTTCGGGATATGTTTCCCAGTGTACCTTGGTAATCCTGTGTCAAAGTCGGATCCCCAAAAAAAAAAAAAAAAAAAAAAGAGGTAAGGCTCGGGGGTTCAGTCTTTCGCAGGGCACTGGAAGACAGCTTGAAGATGGCGTGATGGCACAGACCCCCAATCTCCGTCACTTCTGACGTAACTCGAAGTGACTACGAAAGGGAACGTCTCGGTTACGTATGTAACCCTCGTTCCCTGAGTAGGGAACGGAGACGTTACGTCTCCCTGCCACTTCTGCTGTATCGCTGGGTAGATGCCGAGTTCAGTCTTGGCTCCTCAGCGAAGACATACTGCGGTTGCGTTCACTTCCTCCTTTTATACTCACGGAGTAGGGCGGAGTACGCTATGCAAATTTCCGCAGCCCCAAGGCATTGCATGCCATTGGCTCGTGTTTAAATACTCGAAGAGGATTGGCTTTCTATGCGAAATCCCCCAATCTCCGTCACTTCTGACGTAACGTCTCCGTTCCCTACTCAGGGAACGAGGGTTACATACGTAACCGAGACGTTTTCTTTTTTCCTTAACAGTTTCAACATTTGTTGAAAATCTTGTTTTTATGGTGGTTTCTTATGATTTTGAAAAACTTGTTACCAGAGAACATTTCAAAGAACTTACGTGTGTGCTCAATCTTTGACGCTCTTGTGTATTCATGCATGACACTTTAACACTCAAGTCACAGTTTTGAAAAATTCTAACTACACAAATAAATATAAATGTAGGCTACATACGCAAAAGAAAAATGCTGTATTCTGCAAAAGGCTGCTTCACAAGCACCAAACACAATCCAGCCAAAGTTGCACGCTCTAACAGCAATCAGTGTTTTTGCAGTGTTTCTCAGTGCTGGTCAAGCCACACAACTGCTCTCAAAGCAATTCAGCTATGTTTATGTGCCTCAAAAGACATACAGAACAGACTTGGGGAGGAGATGGAAGAGAGAGAGAAAGAGAGAGAGAGAGAGAGAGAGGACTGCAGACAAAATGACCCCTACACTGTACATCAGTAGCATCAGTTCCTCTTACGTAACCTGCCACTGCAGCTGTGGAAGATCTTGCTATACCTTTGAAGTGAGCATTTATATGTTATAACATATGAAATTACACAGCTAGAAAGGGGCAACAATCTGTAGTATAGTAGTTAAAGTAATCTGACCTGCAAGATAATGTGCTAGCACGGTGTACTATAAAGCTTTTCTGTCAAGGACTGAGCCAAGTACTGTAAAAGTTGATGTGGGATATTTCCATGAAGCAAGCAAAAAGAATAACAATACCGACACATTCCTCCTAGAGTGTCTGCTTTAGCAAAGATTAATTTCACCTGTGTTTCACTCCCCAACTGCTACAGAGGAGCTGAATGCAAATCTACTATTCCACTTCACTATGACAGTCAACACAATTGTCCAGCATACTAACAGTATAACCATCTACACCAAATCAACATGTCTTTTCAAATTTAATATAGTGCCCAAATATGTGTGCACAAGTTTGCAGTCCTACGCATGCAGTACATATTTGTCTTTTTCGGAAACTGCTATCTGTTCCTCTTGAGACTCAAGACTACATGTTAGCCTTAGGGCCTTCTGACTGCATAGCTTATAAGGCTGTGCACATAAACCAACAGATCTGCTATATCCACCTCAGGTTTGACCTGTCACTTATACTAAGCGTAAAGGAGACAAGCTTGTCACTACCATTGCACTGAACTTGAATTACGTCATGCACCACTTGAACCATAACACTGGTTTGAGATCGATTATAAGGGTGCGAATGAGACGTTATTCCTTTGTTAATGAGCACACTTTTTTATGGATGCTGGGCAGTTTTTGCTACTACAGAAACTCATTGTTTTTTTTTGTTTTGTTGACAGAAGGGTGGTTGATTGCTAAGTGTTGCTTTTTTGGCAACAATTTAGAGTTTTTCTGTGATTGTGATCTGCCATAATGACAAACTATTTCCTATATTAAAGAATGGCATTGGTACCACCCATTCAAACTGTATATTCATTCATTTGTTCATTCGTTTTTTTTGTTTGAATTAATAAATTAATACATTACATATGAATACATATTAAGACATACAGTACACTATACTGTATAATACAGTATATAATTACTTCATTAATTAATTAAAGTTACTGCATAAAAGTCCAAAGAAATGTGATAAATGAGTCGGTTTGGTACACTTGGGATTTTCCCAATACAAATTTTGCTCAGCAAGAAAAAAAAAAAAAAAAAACATTTGAGGGAATTCTGATTACATGCAAATTTGTCACAGCATACTAAAATGCTTCAAATAATTCCAGTGCAAGTCATGACATTTGAGAATACAGAGGATAGCCAAAACCCTCAATATGATAATTCCTGAAACTTTTTTTGTTTGTTTGTAAATGGATATGCACTCACCAGCTTCTATATTAGTTACACCTTTCTATACTGGGTTACCCATGTTTGCCTTCAGAACTCCTTTAATTCATCATAGTACAGTTTCAACAAGGAACTGGAAACATTCCTCAGAGAATTTGGTCCACATTGACATGATAGTATCACGCAGTTGCTGTAGATTTGTCGACTGCATATCCAAGATCCAAATCTCCCGTTCACGTTGAGTCCCGTCCCATTGAGTTGTATATATGCCATTTGACTAGTGAACTCATATCACATTCAATAAAACAGTTTTGCAAAGAGCGATGATTTGTGCTTTGAGGAATGGTGCATTATCCTGCCGGAAGAATCTATCCGATGTACACTGTGGTCATAAAGTGATAGATATGGTCAGCAACAATACTCAATTGCTACTAAGGGGCTGCTTAAAGTGTAAAAGAAAAGAAAGTATCCCCCACACCATTACGCCACCAGCATAAACCGTTAATGCAAGGCAGAGGATGGATCCATGCTTAAAAGTTGTTTACACCAAATTCTGACCCTACCATCTGAATGTCACATCAGAAATCAAGACAACATTTTTCCAATTTTGGTGAGCCTCTGCGAATTGTAGTTCTCAGTTGACTGGAGTGGCACCTGGTGTGATGATCTGATGCTGTAGCCCATCTGCTTCAAGGTCCGATGTGATGTGCATTCAGAGATGCTCAAACTTCAGTTGTAACAAGTGGTTGTTTGAGTTATGTTGCCTTTCATAAACCATGTGGCCATTATCCTCTGACCTGATCTGAAGGCATTTTCGCCCATGCACAGAACTGGTCTCGTTGAATATTCTCTTTTAAAGACCATTATATGTTAACTCTAGAGATAGTTGTGCATGGAAATCTTAGGAGATTAGCAGTTTTTGAAAAAACTCATACCAGCCCATCTGGCACCAACAACTATGCAATGTTCAAAGTAACTTAAATCACCTTTCTTCCCCATTCTGATGCTCACTTTAAACTTCAGCAGATCGTCTTGACCATAAAATGCATTGATTTTTCTGCCACGTGACTGGCTGTAGAGGCGATAGGGTGCTAAGCCGCAAAAAAATCAATAATAATTCTCTAAAGTAGAGAAGTTCTGTCTCATTTTGGGTTTGGGTTTCATCAGTTTGTTTCTTTTTCATACAATCACATGTACACACTGAAAAACACAGCATTGTACAGCTGTGAACGTCAATTAGCACTTACCAGAATGCGGTTTTGAAAGAAGGGTGTCGGGCACAGGCTCACATCTGCATAAGCGATTACTCCAGCTGTGATTTTTTGGGCATGTTTTATTTGCCACATGACATCTGTGGATGAAATAAGTGATTAGCAAGGAGACAGACAGTAGCGTGGGATTTATAATTACATGAATCCACAATAAAAGGCAAAATAAGAGTTTTAATTCAAATTGCGCTGACTCGTATAAACACACATAACTCAGAAACTGATTTTTCATAGACACATCTCTTTTGATCACAGGGTGTGTGTGTGTAAACCTTGGTGCAAATTAGCCTGTTTGCTGTAGTTGATTTAATAGTAACTTTCAAAGAGGACATGAAAGATGACCTCACTGTCTACAAATATATTTTATTCAGATCCCTCACTTCACTTATTTTCTCAACTAAACACACCTCAAATGAACTTTCCTTTTTTGAAGGAAAAAAAAAAATATATATATACATATTAATTAATAATTACACTGTGTCCTTGGTTTGGCATGACTCTGGCAGTCTATCAACAGGATGGAAGAGTCAGAGCTATTTAAGACAGAAGGAAGGAGGGAGATGCTATCAGAGTCTCTTGCTGTCCTACTAACCAGAAGCACATGGAGTAGTTGGCATGGAGGTTGAATGAAGTACAGGCATACTACAAACCTTTAAATCATGAACAGAACCGGTCAGATTCTTTCAAATAATATTCAGATGCCACAATACTGCAATATGCAGAACCCGATTCCACAAAGTGCAACGTGTTCCTGGATCATCATCTTTGTTGATTCAGGAACAACATTCCAATCCACCAATCAGATTTGAGGCACAAGTTTACATGTTATGTCAAGTTTAGCCTTACAATCAGGATTAAGTGCTTCAGTGTTATTCACTATTTCCCCGAAATAATTTATGGGTAGGGTTAGGTTTAGGGAACAGGAATGTTACTCTATGATCGACTAAATATGTTGACCAGGAAAGCTAAATCTGCAAAATCAGGACATGCCTGGAATAAAGAATTCTAAATATAATTGTTTTCTTTCAAAATGTAGTCAATAAATAAAACGTATACCATGTTCTGTCTGAACACACAATTCTGGTTGGCTGGAAGGTGTGCAATAAAACCGTTTAATGCTCATGTAGATCCAAGTCAGTTTAATCACTGTTCTACATTAATAGACTTGCTTTATAGAAGCAAAGACACGCATATGTCACTCGCACTGTTTTCATCGAAGCACATATTTTTGCCACAAGTGGTTATATGGATTGTGCCATTTTGCCAGCTACATGGAATTGCTAACACGCACCACAAACATGCAAACCAATATTATTTCCATCAGAAAGTTTTCACGAAACCCAGTGCAATATCAATAAGACAAGTGTGGCAGTACGAGTTAGTCTGATGAGCTGGTGTTCCCTTGGTCACTCCCCGTGTGAAGCTCCCTCCTATAAATAGCGCGTAATCCTTCTGACGCCCTCTCCTGCTCATCGGTGACCGGAAGTTGCGTTGTGCGTCCGGGTCCCTCTCTCCGTGTGTGCGTTGTTGCGCTAACAGGTAGGGTAGTGGCTTTGCTGTCTCCGTGCGAACATTGTTTCCTGCCGTCCTGCTTACTAGTATTATGTGGTTACTGGCGTTCGTAGATCTCCGGCCGGATGGACGAACTCTCATCTCGTCGTTCAATTCATTGAACCACTGAACACACTGCATTATCAGTGCCGTGGGCACTCGTCGAGCTTTCTCCCTCGGGTACGTCTGAACGATGGGTATGTATCTCAGATGACGTGGGATTTAAATCTAGTTTCTTATTAATTGGGGGTTAATGGTAGTTTTTCTTTGTGTAGCTAACAGGAATGAGGCCAGTTTAGCCGGAGATCATCACTAGCTGCACAGGACCGATTCGCTGGCTGCTGTTTTGCTGTTGCCTATTTGCCTGACAACTATATAGTGCCTTTTGTGCCTGTGTTTAAGGTGCTGTACATTGCCGTGTTTTATTTATGTCTCCGTTTGCCACACGTGCCACTTTGCCCGGGCCACTGCCTCATTGGTGTAAATAGCATATCAGCGACTGATCGCTGTATGCTCGTCGATCACGGCCACCGGGTAGTTACGGCTGTCTGGCCAAGAGTATGTGGCATTTGGTTCGGAGTGCTATTGTTTTTATGATACGTGACTAGCTCAAGGGGTTTGGGGCTTTATATTATAATTTTGTCAATGTAAGAAGTTTGTTTTTTTGGGTTTGCTTTCTTTTGGTTTGTTTGTTTTGATTCCAATTTAGATTAAAGTTGCATTTATACTTCAATTTGATTTATTTTTTTTGATTTACTGAGTTTGTGTATATATATATATTTATATATATATTTTTCTTTATACTGCTGTATTATAACCATTGTTGGTTTTGGCAGTCATTTTGTGTTTTAAGTTTATTATTTTGATTTACTGAGTTGGGAATATTTATTTGTTCGTTTCTTGTGATATTTCTACTGCCTTTGTAGATCCATTGTAGGGTTCGGCAGTTATTGTTTATATTTTGTGAAGGTTATTTTGATTTTCTTTGATTATTGAATTGAGAACATTTATTTATTTGTTTATTTTCTTTTGATATTTTTACTGCCCCTTTAGAGCCTTAGTTGGTTCTGGCAGTTATTGTTTATTTTGTGATAAGAAAAATATTGATTTTCTGATTTCTGTATTTTCTTTTTGGTAAATCTTTGTTGAAAGAGTGTGTGTTTTATTTGCGTACTTCTTTGGTTTTCTTTTTTTTTCTGTTGCAGTAGCTGAGAGCCGGTGGAGGTATTGGTGTCTGGGTGGTGTTGTCCCCGTTTGGAGTGCTGTGGACTTCCCTGTTTGCATTTGCTATTATTGGGGGTGTTTGTGTGTTTACTGGGGGGGTGTTTTGGGATCTTTTACCACCTTTTGAATACTTTGCCTCCATCGGTAAGCCTCAGCAATTTTGTTTTTTTGTTTTTGTTTGTTTTGTGTTCTCTTCCCCGAGAGACAATTGTTTTAAACTGTTAAATTATTGAAATTAATAAATGCTGTGCTTCCAAAATTGAACACTGTCTTTGGCTCTATTGTTGTCACGGTGCGGGTTCAGACAGAAGGACAGGCTGAGTCCAAAATCACGAATAACATTGATTTATTAAATAAATACAGACAGGAAGACGGGAATCACTCAGTAACATTAAACATTGACCGACAAACACAGACTGGAGGAGGGAGAACTAAATACACAGAGGAATCAAACATAATGAGGTGAAGACAGGTGAAACAGATGAACAGGACGCTGAACGGGAGGCTGATGAGGGAGTGAGTTCAGGTGTGCAGACGAAAGGATTCTGGGAAGTGTAGTGCAGATGACGCAGACAGGATGGTGCAGACGAAGACTGTGACAGAACTCCCCCCTCCCGGGAGGCGTGACCTCACGCCGCAGAACAGAGGAAGGAGGGGGGACGAACTGGGGCCTGCGCGGGGTGTGGCCAGGGCGGAGCAGGCAGAGGGCGTGGCCAGGGCGGAGCAGGCTGAGGGCGTGGCCAGGGCGGAGCAGGCTGAGGGCGTCCCCAGGGCGGAGCAGGCTGAGGGCGTCCCCAGGGCGGAGCAGGCTGAGGGCGTCCCCAGGGCGGAGCAGGCTGAGGGCGAGACCAGGGCGGAGCAGGCTGAGGGCGAGACCAGGGCGGAGCAGCTGGAGGGAGGACCCCTGGTGGAGCCGATGGTAGTGGGGCTGACCACACCAGGGGGCCGACTGACAGGGGCGGAGCGGATGGGAGAGGAGACCAGGGTGCAGCTGAGGGACAGACGACAATGGGTGCTGAGGAGGGACCGAGGGAACATGGGGACACCGCAGGCTCTGGTGACTGAAGTGCTGACAGGGGTACAGAGGGACACGGTGAGGACAGAGGGAGCGAGGGCCGATGGGTGACTGGAGGGAGTGAAGAATCCAACTGAAGCGGGGGGGTGAAATGACGGGGCGAAGCAAACAAATGGAAGTCCAGAGGTGAAGGGCGGGTGATGAGGGACCAAAGGGAATCCAGAGGTACGAGGGAGCCTGGACGAGCTGGTGGACTGAGGGACCATGGAGGAGCTGAGGGAGGTAGCAGCCACGGGGGAGCCGATGGGACCGGGGGCCGAGGAAGTGTCTCTGAGGAGGAGGTGTGAGGCGAAGGCCGGGGAAACACGGACCAGGCTGGTTTAGGGGAGCTGAAGGGCAGGAGAGAAGAACGGGGACAGATGAGAGGAGGCGGGAGAGGGAGGCTGGGCGGGATCCTGGTCTCCGGCTCTGGCTGGACGGTCTCCGACTCTGGCTGGACGGTCTCAGGCTCTGGCTGGACGGTCTCAGGCTCTGGCTGGACGGTCTCTGGCGCTGGCTGGACGGTCTCTGGCGCTGGCTGGACGGTCTCTGGCGCTGGCTGGACGGTCTCTGGCGCTGGCTGGACGGTCACTGGGGCAGGCTGGACGGTCTCCGGCGCTGGCTGGACGGTCTCCGGCGCTGGCTGGACGGTCTCCGGCGCTGGCTGGACGGTCTCCGGCGCTGGCTGGACGGTCTCCGGCGCTGGCTGGACGGTCTCCGGCGCTGGCTGGACGGTCTCTGGCGCTGGCTGGACGGTCTCTGGCGCTGGCTGGACGGTCTCTGGATAGCTGGACGGAACCAGCAGTGAAGAGCATACAGTCTCTGGATAGCTGGACGGAACCAGCAGTGAAGAGCATACAGTCACTGGAGGGCTGGACGGAACCAGCAGTGAAGAGCATACAGTCTCTGGAGGGCTGGACGGAACCAGCAGTGAAGAGCATACAGTCACTGGAGGGCTGGACGGAACCAGCAGTGAAGAGCATACAGTCTCTGGAGGGCTGGACGGAACCAGCAGTGAAGAGCATACAGTCTCTGGAGGGCTGGACGGAACCAGCAGTGAAGAGCATACAGTCTCTGGAGGGCTGGACGGAACCAGCAGTGAAGAGCATACAGTCACTGGAGGGCTGGACGGAACCAGCAGTGAAGAGCATACAGTCACTGGAGGGCTGGACGGAACCAGCAGTGAAGAGCATACAGTCACTGGAGGGCTGGACGGAACCAGCAGTGAAGAGCATACAGACTCTGGAGGGCTGG